AGGGGAGGGGAGGGAAGAGAAAAAGAGAAAAGATAAGAAAGAAGGAAGAAGGAAGCAAGAGGAAAGGAATAAGGGAGGGAAGGAGCGATTGCAGGAATAAGAGATTGCAGGAATAAAGGAGGGAAGGAGTGATTGCAGGAAAGAAGGAAAGGAAGAATTAGAAGCTATATGAAATGGGAAGGAAGAAGCAAAACTGCCTTTGTTCACCAAAAACTGAGAATGTGATGGTCTTTACAAGCAAGGTACTAAAACTAATCAATGAGAGTTGGGAAAGGTTACAGGACAGAAGATTAATGTACAAAACTCTGATTTATTTCTGTACACTAAAATACAATAAATATAAGTTCAAATTAAAAAAAAAAATAAAATAAAAACATTCCAAAGGTCTAAAGCACTTACTAGGTAAAGGGTTCTACATTACAGGAACAAATATAACAGGGCCACTTCCTTGAGAAACTTTCCAAGTGCAGAAACAAACATAAAAAGAGATCATCGATACATTCTGGTAGACAGAGGAATAAGAGAAGTGTGGACCTTCAGCCGACTGTATAAACAACTCTCTTCTGTTAGGAAGCCTATTCTTCCATTGTCTGAGCCTCCTTATTCACTAAGCAACCTAATAATTCTATTGACTGGATCAGCACCTCCAGGGCTCCTAATGCTATGAGAATAGCTCTTTGTTTGATGCCTGCAGAAAGAGGTTAAGTGGCTTACGCCCACATTTGACCACCAGTTCTCTTGCCCAAAGAGTTTCCACTCTAGAAGATGCCAGCTCCTCATTCTTCTTTGCTTTGGCACCCATGGCTTGGACCTGAGCACTCACAGGAATGCCACACGCCTTTGGTAGCTGATCCACCACTAATTCGATAGAGCTGACCCAAAATTCTTTCTCAAGACTGCAAAGAGAGGTGGATTAATTAAAATCAGAGCATAATCAAGATTTTAAGAGAAATAGTTCAGAGTCTTTAGAAAAACTAAACCAAATCCTTAAATACTCATTGATAAAAGAAATTTTTATTCTCATTTGCTTTGTGAATTAAGGCAACTCACTGTCTACTTCCTGCTCAATACACAAGTTTTGCATTCTTGTGCCCATGGTCTGATCATAATGCTACCAACGTTCTGAGGTAAGTCTGCTGTCAGACTCCACCTTTCTAGAGATAATAGATGTCAAAACACGTTGCACTCAATCCAGAGACCACACATAAACTCGTTCAACTCTGTGGAAACCAACAGAAATTCTAGGAGTAAAGGCGAGGACCTGCCAGGAAGAGGCAACCCCGATGTCCACTAGAGCAGAAGGCAGAAAGAGAGCATCTGTGGCCAGGGCTGTGTATGTCCTCTTCCTGGTAACATTTCTGAATGACGCCAAGAGAGCCTGCGTTCTGGCAGTGGTGGGGGGAGAAGGGCAGGGAAGGTTGCTTCACACCAGCCCTGTGCGCAGGTGTCACTGGGTGAGCAGAGGGCTTTTGCTAGCCTGCCAGCGTCCCCTGGGAGTCTCCAACCCGACAGGCATTGCAGAGCTTACCAAATATCACTGTGCTGGGCGTGACTTCATTCTGTTTCCGTACAACAAGCTCTCTCTGTCTCTCTCTGTCTCTCTCTGTCTCTTTCTCTCTCCCTGTAAACTGGGAGACAGACTCACTAACAAGCAAAACAGCATGCAAGTTTCAGAAAAAGCACAATGGCATCATTGCTGAGGCATCATGGGAAGTTAGAACTTTATCGGGATTGTGACAGAAACGGGACACGTGGCAGATGGACACAGGATGAAGGGATGGCCCCATGAAGAAAAGGAGGCTGAAGCAGTAGGCGTCTGTGAGCATCAGTGAACAGGTCGATACTGCCAGGACACTAATGACCCTGAGAAGCAGGGAAGGTCAGGATGGGGAGGACCTGAGGGCTGTGCTCAAGCGCTTGGACTTTACCATAAGTTATGCAGACCTCTTCAAAGCTTTTCAGCAAGGAAGGGACAAGTCAGACTTTCCTTAAAAGGAAAGATGATATGGCCTCTGACCATGAGGCGGGATTTGGGGACACAGAGCAGGGGCAGCCAGACAGCTCCCAAGCGCCTCTGTCTACAGAGGCACCAGAGTCTCATTGGCTGTGAAATGAAACCGAGAAAGCCCCATTTGTGGGACATGTTTACCTCAAGTCGCTGTGCTCATCCAGCTCAGACCTGGATCAGCTGCGAGCTAAGCACGCCCAGTTAGGCGGGCAAGTCCGGCCGCATCAGCAAGTCTGCAGAGCCAGCCCACACGCTGACTGTTAGAGCAGGGGTAATCAAAGTGCAAGGGAAATGTTCAACTTTAAAGCTGCTGATTGCAGACCTGTGTCCTCGCTGCCAGCAAGCAGGGAGAGAACGATCCTGCCATGGACCTTGGGAAGCGCTCACATTTGCGCATGTACAGTTTTGCTGAAGCACAGCCCTCGGATAAGTAATCCTACGCAATAGCGTGTTAGTGTCCTGTTTCCCTTGCAGAGTCACAAGACTCGGGGAGACAAGGACCGTACCCATCTCTGTCTAGGCTAGAGGTGATTGTCACAGATGAAAAAGAAAACAAGTGAACAGATAAATAAGTGAATGAGAGTGAAGACAAGGCCCCCCTGGCAGCAGGAAGTGGGGTCAGAGAAGGTGCCGGGTCCCGTGGGATGACTCTAGTCAGCTGAGGCCACCGAGCTGTTGCCAGCCACTTCCACACACCTCCTCCCCTTCTAAGCTGCTTCTCATTCTCCGTGGGGAGGGTCGAGGTCTCTGGAAAACAGCCAGAAAACTGTTATGGAAACAGCAAGACTGGCTAATACTCAAGCATTGGGAGGATCTGAGCCATCTGAGCCATCAAAGCCACTTCTGTTCCTCCTGCCTGAGCCTGGGGGTGGAAAAGGGTTCCCAGAGCCATAACTCCTTGCGGAGAGAGGATTTAGAAGGCCTACAAAAGCCCCAGGAGAGGACCTGCTTCCTCATCCCGCAGCTGGTGCCAGGACTCTCGCTCCTCCACTAGGAAAAATGTCTATCCAGTAAGTATCTCTGGGAGATCTTTAAAGGGATGTTAGTCATGGCTTTTGATAGGAATCAAGAGCTCCTGGACAGAAGGCATTGACTGACGGCCAGTTTAAGGAGAACCTTGGGTCTGCATGGAGGCATTCTCCCTCTATTAAGGTCAGTGTGTAAAATTCAGCTCTAAATGAGGGCGAGGCTGCGTGACTCAGACTGAGACTTTGGAACAGTTCTGAGTGTGGGGCTCTCAGGCAGTCTTGGCTCCACTTCTCGCTGTGCGACATGGGGAAAGTCATTTTGTATTTTCCATATGTACAATGGGGGTGATAACAGTACTTAACCCAGTGTTTTGTTACCGGATTTAAATTAGCTAATGTCACACAAAATTTTATGCTGTGTGGTACAGAAGGGCTTAATAAAAGTAACTATTATAATTAAGAAGTATGATCAGAGCTCCCATTCTAACAAGTTATAAAATGGAAGAAATAAGCAAAAAAATAGCAGCAGGCATGGAAGTGCACACTTGTAATTACAGCACTTCTGAGACTGAGGCAGAAGGATTGCCAGAAAAACAAGGCCAGCCTGGACTACATAGTGAGATCAAAGCCATCCTAAACCACATAGCAAAAGCCTGTCTCCAAATAAATAAATAGATAGATAAATAGAAAGGAGAGAAAGAAAGAAAGAAAAGAAAGAAAGAAAGAAAGAAAGAAAGAAAGAAAGAGGAAGAAAGAAAGAAAGAAAGAAAGAAAGAAAGAAAGAAAGAAAGAAAGAAAGAAGAAAGAAAGAAAAGAAAAGAAAAGAAAAGAAAAGAAAAGAAAAGAAAGAAAAGAAGAAAGGAAGGAAGAAAGAGAAAGAAGAAGAAAGCAAGCAAGCAAATTATATAGAACCTGAAACTCTTGATCTATTTTTTAAAAAGCACTATAGTTCTTGGGAGTTAGTGGAGAAATGGGGTGATGGGAAGGCAAGAAAGAATAACACCGATGAGAAACAAACAGTGATGTGCCCGACCCTACCTGCTGTTGGCTCCCAGTCTGTAGGAGCGCGAGGAATGGGGCTCCTCCTGAGACAGAAAGGCAGTCAGTGTCCATCAGGCAGGGTAATTCTTGTCCAGGACAGTGTGTAGCATCAGAGTTTAGAAAGAGCAGCGATAGCAGCAGGTGTGCCTGAGCTGTCCCCAGAAATAAGGGAAAATCTCAGCTGGTAGGAGTAAGTCCTCCTGAATACAGATGTTAGGGGAGAGCAGTCCCCCTTTTGCGAAGGGACAGAGTCGGCCCTCTCCCGTGCTGGGCACGCTCCTGCCCCCACATTCTGGTGCTTTCTGGCTGAGACGTGACAGCCGGTGGCGCTTCGGGTCAAGCCACTGGCGCTTCTCTCCCGGAGCGCAACCCCCGAGGCTCTGCACTCCAGTATCAGCACGGGCTCCGCCTCCTTATCTGTTTCAGAGTCGAGCACCCTGCGGGCGGATACAAGAAACTGTTCGAAACTGTGGAGGAGCTGTCCTCGCCGCTCACCGCTCACGTGACAGGTTGGTGTCGCCCTTCCGGAAGCCTCGCCACCTTCTCTTCTGTGGCGTCTCTGTCACTTTGTACTTGTCGGCCTCTCTCAGTGTATCTCTCGGCTACAGAGGGCAGAATCTGGAAGTTCAAGATTTTTCTACCAGAAGCCCATTCCTTCGCATTTACCTTCACTTCACTTCTGCAGTGTAGATAAATGCCACCTAACTGGAATTCCTTATGCACAAGACATACCTTTGTCATCTCCAAACCAACAGCGCCCAGCTCAGAGCCTCTCCTATAAATGTCTTTGCCCCCACCCCGGGGTCTGCATAAAGACTGCCTGGTGACAAGCACCTGAGATTACTATATTAAAGGGTGTTGGGTTCCATGCCCATTAAACTGGCACCGTGTTGGTTCTAGAGGCAGATGGATGTGGGCGTAGACCCAGTTCTTTTATTACACCATCTATGAGTTCTATAAATTCCTTCTGAAGCTCAGATATCTAACCCCCCAAAACAAAACTTACTTCATGGAGATATTGTGAAGATTGCATGAGGTAACGTAAATACAATGATTCACCCAACGCTGGACACAAGGTAATCAGTAGACAGTAGTTATTACCAGCATGGCCACCCTGGTCCAGGACACCATCCCCCATAGGGCGCCTCCCTGGGGCTAACATGGGGTTAGGAGCAAGGTCAGTGCCTCCGAAGGTCTCTTCTCCTCCCTGGTTCCTGGTTTGTAAAATAGTATGAGGCTAATTTTTTCTCAACTACTCTCATCAAGATGCTCAACTAATAGGTTTTGATGCTAGAGTTCTAGGTGTTCCCAATCAAATATAAGACACTCCTTTCACTTAAGCCGTGCGTTTTATCCCCGTGAACCAGATTCTGCCTGCACTCTTCCTGCTGTTGTCCTTCATCCGCACAGTGACCCACACCCTCTGAGAGTGAGGTTCCAGATTGTAGGAAGGCGATATTCCTGGTTTTTTATTTAATGGTTTCTTCTCTAGAAACATCTTTTTAAAATGCCTTGATCCCTTCTCATCCATCCTCTACCCTTCAACCTACCAAAGTACTTCAAAAAAATTTAAGTTCTTTTTTTAAAAGTGAGCTGGTAAGAGGGTGCGTGGGCTGGTGTCTGAGGAAGGTATTAGGTGAAGAATCTCATTCAGCTCAAGGTGCTTTGTCCTCCCTCCCTGCAGCCTGTTACCCAAACTCTTGAGTGTTGTCACATTTCCCAACACTCCCAGCGTTGCCACATTTCCCCTAGTGACGGGAGACTCAAACCAGCAGATGCTTCTGAATGCTGCTCGGCGTGAGAGCTGGGAATGAAAGCCCCAGCAGGCTTTGTGTAGAAGAGGCTGCCCAGTCCACTGCTGGTCCAGCTCACAGGGAAGGAGCCCAGTCCCGGGACAGGGATATAAAACTGTGCTGTGTGTCACTTCACCGCAGGCAGAGTCCCCCTCTGGCTCACCGGCAGTCTCCTCCGCTGTGGACCGGGACTCTTCGAGGTAGGATCCGAGCCTTTTTACCATCTGTTTGATGGGCAAGCTCTCCTGCACAAGTTTGACTTCAAGGAGGGGCACATCACATACTACAGAAGGTAAGGAAGCGCTCGGTCCCAGCTCTGCCCGGAGCGGGTACAGCTCGGCTCCCCTTCCCTTGTGCCTTTTAACCTCTGGAGCCCTGGACAAGACCCCTGAACGCACTTCTTTCTCACAGTCCCCCTGGGTCCATGTGTCCAAATAGACATCTGAGAGCCCAGTGAGTTAATAAAGAAGCTAAGGACCAGGATTCTGGGGTCCATCATCCCTGGCTTCAAGTTCTGTATCCACCAGACACCAGTTGCCTCGCTTGATGACCTCTGGCAAGATGCTGTCCTCTAATTCTGGGTTTGTCATTGCAAAGTGGGAGAAGTAATATATCACTTGATATGCTCCTTACAAAGATTAAGAAAGAACCCAGCATCCAGGACACAGGAAGCACTCACGAGTAACAAAAGTTGCTCTGGCGGTTGCTATTAGACGACCAGCTATCTAGATTCTTTTCTCATTCTATAACCAGAAAGGCTGGAGAAGGAGAAAGAGGTGCCGCAGAGGAGTGAAGGGCCACATATGTCATAGAGACAGCAGAACGCAAAGTTCTAAAACAGGAGGTCGTCACTAACAGGCTTGAAGGCCTAGGCCACCACCCAAAGAAGCCCCCACAGCACCGCAATGAGCACCTGGTCTCCTGTTTCAGCATTCAGGAATATTAGTGAGGAGAGAATATTAGTTTCAGCATTCAGAATATTAGGAAGGAAGTATAAATGCAGACTGGACACAGGATAATTTGGACTGTAAGAGGAGAAAAACGGATATTGGCAAACAAAAATTTAGCTATGGGAAAAAAATTTGGAGTTCAGCTAAAACATTCATAAACCTCCTAAAGACCTCATTCCTCCTCATAAAAATGCAAAATCCAATTTTAATTGTCTCTCCACATGAGAAATCCTAGGCACTTTCACCAGCAAGTCTGGGATATGTTTCAGCAGATATCAGCCCCAGAGATTGAATTCAAGAATACCTAGATTTTAAAGCAGAGCAAAATAAATGCTAAGATTGAAGAAAAAAAAGACTGGAGAGATACTGAAAGGAATCCAATTAGACACACCATTTCCTACATTTCCCCACCGCGCAGGCTGACAGGTTACAGTCCCCAGGGAGTTAGAAGTCTTACGTGAACTGCCACTCAGGCTGCACTGTGGGAAATGAAAAATTCACTTTGTCCAACTCTGGCCAATGTGGGTTCTAACTCCTCTTGCCCACAAATGCCGATCACTTCACCAAACCTCCATTTCCTGTCGCTGAGAGGTTTGGAAGACTAAATTTAAGCTCAGACACGTCGTCTCTTCCCGCCCTGGCCACGCTTGGAGAGAGAGCTGATACTACTCTCCGTTGTGGCTGAATGACCATGCCATGCACTGCCTGGACAGCAGCGGTGACAGCGGCCACTGACGGTGATGGTTTCCCGTGTCTCCTTGTTCTGCAGGTTCATCCGCACCGATGCTTATGTCCGTGCCATGACTGAGAAAAGGATTGTCATAACCGAATTCGGTACCTACGCTTACCCAGATCCCTGCAAGAATATATTTTCCAGGTCACTGAAACCAGACCACATTCTACTACAGACATTTTACATCATCTCCTTCTTTCTGATGGTTTGCAAGTTTTTGAACTGAACACTGTATTTGCTTCTGTAGGTTTTTTTCTTACTTTCGAGGAGTGGAGGTGACCGACAATGCCCTGGTGAATATCTACCCAGTGGGGGAAGATTACTACGCCTGCACAGAGACCAACTTCATTACCAGGATTAATCCGGACACCTTGGAGACAATCAAGCAGGTAGGAGGCTGCTCAGGTGACGCTGCTCAGGAAGTTTGAATTGAATCCACTGTGCAGTTGGATGGAAAGAACATGAGAACCAGGCTACGTTCAAAACCTTGCTTTGTCAGCAACTGCTCACTATGCAACAAAGGACAGATGTCCATTCTTCATGTATGAAATTTTAACACAGATTTCAGAAAACCAGGTAAATGGCGAACATTTTCATTCATGCATGCATTCATTCATAACATAGGTACTTACTGAGCGCTTTCCATGTACCAGAATTTCTGCGAGGTGTAAGGAATCTATCAGTGACTCAGAAAACGTGGTGGCTGACCTTTAGGGCTTTTATAACCTATTATGGACCTGGTGCATACACAGTATTCAAAACACTCTTGCTATTGATTTTGAAAACCCTGCTGTTCATGAGTCTAGGCAATCTACGTTGCACCAGCTTATCCTTCTTGTCAACATTTTCTTATTAGAAATAAAGCAACACCTTAAGTGAAATACCATAGAACAAAACATCAACTGCATCAGCAAGTGACAAATTTTGCTGAGAACTTGGGGGATCTCGATGCAGTGTTCTTTAAAATAAGCCCACAATTTGGACCAGTATTTATGGACAGCTACTTCCAAAGCAACATTCTTTTTCCTTCTTTTTGCCTCTTTTTTTTAAAAAAGGGCCCAACGAGCAACTTCAACCGGCCCTGAAACCAACTAAGGAACCCAAGCCGGCCTCAAACTCACAATGGTCCTCCTGCCTCAGCCTCGCAAGTGCTGGGATTACAGATGTGCTCCACCACGCCCAGCTTCAAAGCATCATTCTTATCTTTAGGAAACTTAACATCTATCTACATTATATAGATATGCAGAGAAAGAGGAAAATCAAACAGGTACAGAGCTTAACTATAATAAGACATGCAATTTGATGAGTTTTTTAACAGAAGGAAAACCTTCTGAGAGAGTATAAGAAAGAGATAACTTCTCCCAATAGTCAGGAATAAGAACTGGGTAGATCGGGGAAGGATCAAAGCTGCATTTGAGCTGGAATTTAAAGGAAAGTGCAACTCCAGGGAATTTGGTGAAAGCACGTTCTAGACAGAATAGGTAACACGATGGGAAGGTGGGGGGATGGGGAGGAATGAGGGCTGTGTCCATGGAAACCAAGGATAATTCTTCTGGCAAGACTTGCAGTACTTCTCAGTGGAGGCACGAGTCACATCAGGAAGGAGGTGGCTTATCCTCGTAGGGGCTGTTAGAGGTCTGGGGTCCCTGATCCCATCCACTAAACACCAGTCAGACCCTCAATCACTGTACAAACCCAGAATACCTCCAGCATTTCCAGATCTCCCGGGAGAGGGCAATAAAAGGAGTGCTGAGTTGGTTTTCAGTGCCAAAGGCATGCTGTATGCAAGACACTGGACTTGCTGTCTAGGTTGTCCTGTGCTGAACTGTCGTTTCTGTACATCTAAAATGATTAAATGACAACAATTTCATGTAATTCAAAATAATAAAATGCAAAGAAATCCCATGACTCAAATTTATAATTGTTTTGAGATCAACTTGTGCGTGTGAAAAGAAACTGACCAGAACAGGGTACAGTACTTATCGAATGAGAGCACCATCACAGAGAACCCACACTTCGGACATCTGCAGAAAAATCTCGGGGATCGGAGGAGAGCTCTGCCTGGAAGGCGGGCTTCGGGCCAACCTGAAAGAAGGCAAGATCCAGAGAGGTGGAGAGAAAGACAGCACGTGCTTAGCACGACAACGCAAGGGGCAGTGGTGGGGGTCAGACCTAGGCCAAGAGGAACCTCCTATCTCTTAACATTGATGACATTTGCTGTCCCTTCACAGGTTGATCTTTGTAACTATGTCTCAATCAATGGGGCCACCGCTCATCCCCACATAGAAAATGATGGAACCGTTTACAACATTGGCAATTGCTTTGGGAAAAATTTTTCCATTGCCTACAATATTATCAAGATCCCTCCACTACAAGCAGGTGAGCTACCCATCTCTCCTCTATTGAAAATATATATAAAGCATGCAAATAATGGAAAAGTTACTGGAAATACAGGCTGCCAGGTAACAGTATTATATAGGTAATTAAATTATTCCCACACTGTAAAAATTGGTCTCACTCTTCTCTGCCAGAAGATTAATGCCCCACAGATGACCATCTGAAAATACAGAAAGGAAGTAGACACCTTCAATGCTACAATGTTTCATCATTTAGTGTATATGTGGATTTGATGATATACGACTTAGATTCAAATCCAACACATATTGACTGAGCACTTATGCATGTACCAAGCAACATTAAACAAACCTGCACATTAGCATTCATATATCTAGCTATGAAAGTGTGTCACTTTGAGTTTAATTCCCAAAACAATAAAGTCTATGAACAAATCTAGAAAACAATAGTAAAACAGAACAGACAGTGTTCAAGAGTTCTCCATTCATCTTACATTCATTGCTAGGCCTTTGTCAGTCATTTTGATGTCAGGGTTATTTGATTTCATATGGATTTTTGTTCTGTGATGTTTACTGTAGTTCTTGGAGGGTAGTACCTAGATGAAAGCATCTGTAGGAAACCTGTGAAATAGAAATCGTGTTCCCACCTCAGGCTGACTGAATGAGGCATACTGGGAGTGGGTGCCTCAAACAGTACTTTATAAAGTTATTCATCTGATTTTCCAATGCACATTAAGGTTTGAGGACCTCTGACTTAGTAGTGAATGCACTTTTATGTACAGAAGAATTGTTGTAGAGGACAGTTGACATAAATCTCCCTGTACCATGCTTTGGGGCATCCTAGGAGCCCATAAAAGGCATCTGACTGTACGATAATCCTGCCTTTACTCTTCTGACTTAAAACCCCTCTTCACCTGTTGCAAGATTCAACCCTAATATTCCATAACACACTTGCCAGGGTGCACTTTTCCAAATCTGCTGCTATTTGGATTTTCCTGGGTGATTGCAGCTTTGCATGAAATTTCACTAAGATACACCAATGGCCAAGAAAATGAAAATACAGATATCGGAAAATGTAATTCTTTACTTGCACTTAAAAAGTGAGGAGCTCTTCCAAAGCCTTTTAAAAACTCTCTGTTTCAGACAAAGAAGACCCAATAAGCAAGTCAGAGATAGTTGTACAATTCCCCTGCAGTGACCGATTCAAGCCATCTTATGTACATAGGTAAGTAAAAGGCCTACAACAAATCATTCGCAAAACCAGAGTTTAGAGATCTGCTTTTCCTACCTTTGATACCAATCCTGATTATGACATTTTCTTACAGAAATCTAAATTTAAACATAATTTCATGTAGGCCCTGTTGATTCATGCAACTAAGCATCCGTTGGTGTGTTCATATTTCTTTGTAGTTTGAGAATCACCCGTGTCCGTTCACAAGCCCATTTGTGTTTCTGAACAGCTTTGGCCTGACTCCTAACTACATCGTTTTTGTGGAGACACCAGTCAAAATCAACCTGTTCAAGTTCCTGTCTTCATGGAGTCTGTGGGGAACCAACTACATGGACTGCTTTGAGTCCAATGAAACCATGGGGGTAAATCGGATGGGTCTGTCACGTTTCTGATATTGAAGGCGTGTTCTGCAGTGTACAATTTTTTCCCCTTTTTAAATGTATCACAATATTTTATTTTTCTAGGTTTGGATTCACATCGCTGACAAAAAAAGAAGAAAATATCTCAACAATAAATACAGGACCTGTCCTTTCAACCTTTTCCACCACATCAACACCTACGAAGACCACGAGTTTCTGATTGTGGATCTCTGCTGCTGGAAAGGGTAAGAATGAGCACCAGGAGAAGTGTCCCAGCTCCAGCTGCTCCTGGAAGGGAAGAGGATTTCATAGAGATGCTGCCCTCGGTGTGTAAATGAGTTGCTTCTAAAACAGCAAGAGTCAAGAGACATGATCGGAAAAGCAGTAGGGAGAGCAGGTCATCAGAAACACCAGCAGCATCCAAGCTATGGTGAACGACTGAAAATCAACTGGGTCCATGAACCAGACTTGAGAATAAAGGATTCTGCGGCCTGAAAAGTGAACTTAAACTTGACTGAACCCTGATGAGATCTCTAGGGGGTCTAGAACACTACTCACTCTGGACCTGGGAGAGAGAGGCATGTGTTTTTCAAACTACCCAAGTCACTTAAAAACAATAGATTCTACAGACACAAACGTAGTAGTGGCAGAAGAGCAGATCAGAAACTATCTGACGCTGCTGTTGTTTAAACACACCTATGAGGCTGGTTTCTTTATTTTTACCCAGCAGGTGCTGTAGGCCATAACGCTCATATACCTGTGCTTTAGCAGTCTGGAGTGTGGAATAAAGATTTTAAAACTCATGAGTCATCTCCCTAAAATTATGTGTGATTGTGTTCATGCTTGGTTTCCTGTTTTTGCAGATTTGAATTTGTTTATAATTACTTATATTTAGCCAATTTGCGCGAGAACTGGGAAGAGGTGAAAAAAAACGCGAGCAAAGCTCCTCAACCTGAAGTCAGGAGATACGTCCTTCCTCTGAATATCGACAAGGTAACTGCTTGCTACATCGATTTCAGATGTAACTGGAATATTTCTTCTTTCTCAGAAATTGTCCTCTTGCTTCATGTTTTTATATAAAGTCTCAAAACTTCAGAGCTGTAGGGAACATTAAAAATAAACAAATTAAAGCTCTCTCATTTTACAAACGAGGAAGCTGAAGCTCAGGAAAATGATGTAACTTAGCAAAAGCTAAATGCAGCTGGGCCAGGATGAGAACCTGGCATCGTAATTCAAAATCCACTGCTCTCTCAGTTACAAAATCCTTTTAAAAATCACTTTCTCCCTGAGTAATGCAGCTCTGCTGGTGCCTGGGATCTTTTGTCAATAATATAAAGACTTAATAAATAATTTGAACTTCTAGAAAAACGAATCATCAAAAAGTATCCTTGTTTGGAAGCCAGCCCATTATTTTAGTTTTCTATAAATCTGAAAATATCCTAGAGGGCAAAAAGCGTTAATAGCATTCAATGGTTGTAAGAAAGTCAGAGTTTCTCTCTGAAGATAACTGAAACTACCAGCAGTCCAGCAAGAGAAAAGGCACACACATTGATTAGTGTGTGCATGTGCGTGACAGCCCGGTGAAACATGGCACTGGAGGAGAAACCAGATGGATAAGACTTGAATAGTCCCTGCGGGGGTGTGGGTGGGTGCTGTCGGCACTGGGGGAGGAGGAGAAGTGACTTTTGGGGAAGATGAATGAGGTTGAAGAATGAACAACAGCCTGAAGTGACAGCCTGGGGCTTGTGGTCTCCAGCTGTGGTGTCTGAGTCTTGGTCTTCCTCCGAGAGAGATAGAAATGGAATCTTCCTCGGGAGGTGGAGTTTCTGTAAGAAGATGGAAGGGTTGTGTTGCTCTCTGGTGGGTCTCGTTTTGAAGGAAGTAAGACAATTTGGGGAAAGCAATTCCCTGCATGGGCTTCTCCCCAGTCCTCTCAGTTTGAACTCCAAAGTGGCTTGCTTTGGGCTTTTGCTCTTCCTGCCCCAACATTCTCACTTTATTTCTACCTTTTCTTTTCTGTATGCAATGACTATCCTTTTATAAGCATAAGAGTACCATCTGGAATGTGCAGTGTGGTAGACATTGCAGTCTAAACAAAAAATATACAATTTTCACATGTAAAATATATGTGAAATTTGTATGTATTTTCTCTTGTGAATGCAGTTACCAAACCTTCACTTCCCTACAACTATCTAATGCTATCATTGTGTTTTGTCCTCTAGTGGTATTTTCAAATGCATAGAAAACCCATACGAGACAATCTGTTAGATCTATACAGTCCCTAGCTGCACAAAAGAGGCTGAGGCAGCTACCTGGAACATATAACATGGAACCCAAGGTTTAGATCAGATGTAGTGAAACACAAAGCTAATTTAGAACCAGATATCACAGCTCTTAAGCAAGCTTGTAAGTTCTATGAAGAATGAGAAAGGGAAAGGAAGTTGAGGTCAGGCTCTACCCATAGGCAGTAGAGCTTTTACAAAGGCAGAGTTGAAAAAGCAAGATCTAATGTGGAAATGCAAGTAGTCTTTGTGGCTGGCGCATTAAGAGCACTGAGGAGATGGGCAGAGGGACTAGAAAAATAGGTTGGGGAGATATTTAAGGGGCTTTATGAGCCTTTGGGTGATGGTAAATGATAAAGAGCTGCTGAAGTATTCCAAGTGTGCGCTGTGTGTATGACATGGTCAGATCTGTGTTTCTGAAGGTCACCCAGGTTACATTGTAGAGGACAAGAGGTAGGATGGAGAGGCCAGGAGCCCTAGGACAGCATAAATGCCGTGAGAACAACAGACAATAAATACCTGGATAAACCAAAATGGCAACTGACAGATTAAGGAAGGTACAAAGATCAACAGTACACAGAGTTGGTGTCTACTCATATGTGAAGGAACTCAGAATGACCCCATCACTTCTGCCCTGAGCAGTGGAGTGGGTGATGGTTCAATACATTACATTAGAAGCAGGAGGGGCTGGTTTGCAGGGAAAAGAGGAAGATTTGTTTTATATATGTTCAGTTAAAGACGGTGAACATGCTATCTCAGATATGTTCGGTAGGTCATTGGAATGCATGGATCTGGGGTTCAGAACAGAGCTCCCAGTGAATCATCAGTTGGGTTTTGTTCATCTGTTCGTTGGTTTTGCTTCTTTGAGACAAAGCTTTCCCAAGTAGCTCAGTCTGGCCTCAAACCCATGGTTTTCCTGCCTCCCGAGTGCTGGGATTGCAAGTCTGAGCCACCTCTCTGAGCTGGCTGAGAACCCTCGCACCCTTGCTTTCCCCTACCCCTGCGTGGAGTTGAGCGCCCATAAAATACCAGCTGAATGAGGCAGTTCAGTCACCACACTTCAGAACTGGGAAAAAGGAAGGATTTTTCCAAATGTGTGGTCATCATTGGGCTTTACGGGAAAGGAAGGTTTCTGAACAGAAGAACATCTGATAATTATTTATGCACATTGATGGGCACTGATGGGGGTCATTCCCAAAATATCAGGCCCTGACCTCTGGTGGCCTGGGGCTTAAGTGAGATAAGCGAGCAGGAAGCACAGAGGCAGAATGGTTTGTCAATTGGGGATCGGCTTATAGAATGCATCATAGTGACCAGCAATGCATCACAGCAATCCGCCATTTCCAAGAGACAGGAGCAACGGGGACTGGAATGGGAACTTTTACCTGGGCAACTAACAAACTGAAGTATACTAGCCTGGGGATGGGGTATTTTCTGCTACATTTCCCCCATTTTTTAGATTCCCTGACAAATCTTTGCTGAACATATCACATATGATCTTCTGAGGCAAGGCCCAACTAGAATTGAGGCCTCTCCGCTCTGTAACATTACTCTGGCAAGGTAGTGAGGGAGTTAATCTGATCTAGGAGAGTGTCCAATGTGTCTTGGACACTCCTCAAATCTTGGTCAGGTGTTTGATTGATTGTTCTATTCTCTTGGGGCAATCGTCCATAGAGTTTAAGGCAAAAAACACACAGCTAGCAGGGGGCAGGAAAGCAAGGACCGGGGTAAGCAGAATCCAGGTCAATTGACTCAAACCACAGCTAGCAGGGGAACAGGGAAGCAAGGACTGGCATAGGAAGCCCGAAAAGGCACACAAATCAAGAAGAATAGGTATGGAGCAACCCTGTGAACAGTGTCCTCAGGTTTCAACCATGCATGGACTGGTCAGCATCCAGAGTGACCACAGCAGGGCTTTGAATGTGCGGTCTCTTTAGAGTGAGCCTCAGAGAATCTGTCCAGGTAAAGTTTTCAGCAGATCTAAGGCTGGATTACTGACACTTGTGGAGGTAGTTAATATGTACCTGGGTTATGTGTGTGTGCAGGAATGTCTACAGATATAGCTGGTCTTTTAACTGGTTATGAGCTGTTTCTGTAGGGTTATGTTTTATTTCTGTGTAGTCTATCCATATATCTTTAAATGGGGCGAGTCCACAACAGCACATGAGGTCAGGGCCAGTAACACAGACGCTGAAGCCTGAGCTGGCTGCAGGGGTACAGATGTCAGTGCTGTGGCTTGAGCTTGCAGAACAAATGGTGGGCACAGGGCTGACTCTGATCTTCCGGGAATACTGGGTAAAGTTCTCCTGGCTGGGGTTGATGTTTCTGTCAATTAGACCCCTGGAGGGGGTTTAGGCCTCTGAACTGGACTATTTTGTGTCATTGGTAGCAGGCTTCCAAACAGCAGTTGGCTGTGCACAACATCCCTGCAGGAGAGTTTTGGCCTAAACAGTTTTATCCAAGGTGACCACAGCATATCTAGCCTATTGGACTTCATTCCTAACAGAGCTACTTCCATCCATAAATGGTGTACTCAGTATCTGTCAGGGAGACGATTTTTTAGAATGGTTCATCACAGTACAACATGTGGCACCGGGACACTTAGGTCTCAGTCTAAGGTGAGCTTGTCAGCTTTCTTGAGCAGAAGGACAGTGGCTGTTAGAGCACGGAGGCAAAGCGGGGAGGCAGCCCTTGGAGGCCACTGGGCGCTCCCATGGACTGACAGTCTGAGTAAGCATATAGAAGCCAGGAGCTCCAAGAAATCTGAGGAGTTTCTTTCTTCTAACAAGTTTCTGCCAGATATTATAGCAGACCTTTTATGTCTTTTCAGCAAGCAGCTTGAGTATCTATCATTAATCAGAAGTGCTTTTTCAGAGAGGAGACAAGTTTTTGAACCTCTGGGACAGTCAGTACAGGTCAGTTGGCTTTTGAGTCTAGATCTGGGGTCTTTCCATTTAAAGGTTAAGAGAAGCTGGCTAACAGGAGATAACTGAAGGCAGAAGAAAGCATTTTTTTAGGTTCAGGCAGGTGTACCAGCAGTCTATGGGTGACAGAAGACTGAGGCAACATATACAGAGGGCAATCACAGCAGCATTGGCAGCTGGAAGATGTTGAACTGGCTTTACAAGCAGGAGAGGGGTACTGTTTGATGCAGGTAGGCGTTGCCTTGAGGCAGAGCTCAATCACCAAAGGGCCATGATTGATAGCAAGCCCCAGGAGTGAGTCCTTTGTCCATACTTTGGAAATGAGTCTTTCAGAACTTCAGGGTTATGATTATCAGGCATTTCAGGCTGATGTAGATGCTATTCTTCCTCCTGGGGTATAGTCAGAGTCAATATCAAGTCCAAGACAGTGGACCCAAGTGTGAGGGAGGCTGGTCACATTCCAGGAGAGGTACAGGACCTCAAGCATGTATGGGAATTCATGTTTGATAAAGTGTCCATCAATCTCACAGGATCTGCTTTGGCAGAATTTCTTTTCAGTGAGGGCTCTAATCAGTAACTTTAGACATGTTTATTGGCTTCTTGCCTCCCTCTTTGAGGTCTGCCAGGAGAGCAGTGTGGTGCTGATCCAAGGCTTCATGGCCCTCTGTCATATCACAGTCCCAGCTTGCATGCACTACCACAGTGGCGGGCACTTCTGACTTTAATGAGGCTTGTGCCCCATCTAAAATACGACAGCATTGTTCAGTATTAAACAGAGTCAGAAGGA